CGCACGTGCGGCGGCTGCTGTGGCTGCGGGGCGGCGGCCGCCTGCGCCACGTGGGCCTGGGTCTCTGCTCGCTGGTCTACGAGGCGCCCTTTGACGCCCAGGCCAGCCTCTACCAGGCCCGCTGCCGCTACCTGCAGCCCCGCTGGGCCGACTTCCCCGCGCGGGTCCTGGACGTGGGCTTCGCGGGCCGCTGGTGGGTGCTGGGGACCCGCATGCGCGACTGCGACGTCAACGACGACGAATTCCTCCACCTGCCGGCGCATCTGCGCGTCGTCGGGCGCCATCAGCTGCGCTCCGAGGCCAACGAGCGGCTCTTCGACGAGAAGTACAGGCCGGTGGTGCTCACCGACGATCAGGTGGACCAGGCGCTGTGGGAGGAGCAGGTCTTGCAGAAGGAGAAGAAGGACAGGCTGACCCTGAGCCAGGCCGACTCGCTGGTGCAGCCGGAGGGCCCGAGATGAGCCCCAGGGAGCCCCGGCGGACTTGGCCCGGGCTTGTGTGATTGGCGGCCGTGCGCCTCGAATGCGGCCACTGAAATAACGAGCAGAGTGTCCTCTCGCTGGGTTTTCACAAAATGAGGGGGCCTGTCTCGCTCTCACCTTGTTAGCTGAAGCTAATTCAGAGCCTCTTGGTCCCGGAGTTGGGCAGAGCAGAGCGACGTGACCGTGTAGTGTTTATCACTGCCAGAGTTAGTAATAAGCCTTACTCATAAAGAAGCTTTTTGTCACTACTGGGCCTCACAATCCCCCTGACTGAGGTATCACATTTGTTAGGTGACTCCTAAACTCTCCTGAGACTGTTCAGATTTTCGTGTTAAAATTGGAGCTGCAGTGTTTATTGTCTGTTCCCATGAATAATTTTTGTTTTAATTTTTGTAACTTTCTATTTTGAAATAGTCTCAGATGAAACTGGAAAAAGGCATCCTGTGTATCTTTCACTTAGCTTCCCCCATATGGTAACGTTTTATGTCAGCAATACCAAACCCAGAGGTTGACATGGCTATGACTATTTGGGTTTTACAGGGGAACTTTTCACAAAAACAACCTGCTTTTACCATCTGTGTGTTGATGGTGATGTTAAAGGGACGTGGAGGGATAAAGCATTGTCTGATGTGGAAGGCTATATGGAATCATAGATTCTGGTTATGTTATACTTCAGTAAACCTGAAAACACAGAATCCTATACAAAGGAATGTTAGTGTACATAACTGGTACTTAGCTAGGTTATGGTAATCATACTTTTAAAATTAAGATTATAGGAATGAAATACCTCTGTCACCTAGGTGGCCTGTGGCTAGTTAATAAAACCAGGAGGTGAAACAACCATCTTTGTTGTGATGCTTATGTTCATGCGTTTAACCATTAAGTTTTGGTACTGGGATCTTCTGTTCATACTGTGGGTGTGCTGGACACATGGTATTTTTTATATCATTATTTTTGAGGCAGGGAAGCATCTTACACGTCAGCATCTCCATTCTACAAAGGAAAAAGTGAGGTTCAAAAAGTCCATTATTTTTCTAACGCTGTGGCAGAGCCATGATTCAAACTGTAACTCCCAACCCTGTGACTTATTCCTCAAATTCGTGGTACTAGCCTTGATCCTAACAACATCCTGCCATTAAGTGCTGCTATCACTAGCCATAAATAAAACTTGAATACAGAAATAAGTGAATATTAAAAAAATGCAATGAAAACAAAAGACAAATGGTACTCAATTGTAATTGTATGGTGTTACCTGGCAAAGGTTCTGGACCTAAATCATGACGTCTTTGTTCAAGCGAGAGAGATTCACAACTGCAGGGGAAGGTAGAAGACACCGGCATCAAAGTGAGGCTGATTCCTCGCTGTGATCAGGAGTGTTGAAAGAGGACTGCACACGTGCATTGCTTGAGTCAGTTATTAAATGCCACTTCTGACTTTCAGTAGGATGTGTTCCACGCAGCCCCCCTGTAGCTGTGAAGCTCAGAGCAGTGGTTGGCAAAACACTAAACAACTGTTGACATGTTCATAGGAATTGTAGGGCTTGGTATAGGCCTGATGTCCATGTGCCTTTGTGTTTGGTTGGAGGGTCAGCCTTTCCCAGAGGAGTCCTACCATATTTTCTTCCCCTCTCCAGTAGCTCTGGCCTCCTGAGTTTGGTGTAAGGCACATAGACTAGAGCTATCAGATCGGACAGAGGGCAAGGTGTTGGGGCCTATATGGGCTCCCAAAGGACGGGTCCCGGTCTCCTCGTTCACTGCTGAGCCACCAGCACCTCACAGTGTTTGGCCCAGTGTGGGTGGGAGCTGGTATGGTCCTGCTGGGAAGGAGAAAGCAGTAGAATAGGCTCCCCATCCTTTGGTCAGCGTGGGGGGAAGAGGACCCCTAGTCTCAGCCCTGCCCAGTAGCAGAGACAGCAAAGTGGACACACTGTCTCCATTTCCATAAGGGCACTGGGGTCTGGGGAAGAAGTGGGCTTTATTTATTTATTTATTTTTTTTTAAAGATTTTATTTATTTTATTTTTTGCCCCCAAAGCCCCAGTAGATAGTTGTATGCCATAGCTGCACACCCTTCTAGTTGCTGTATGTGGGACTCGGCCTCAGGATGGACAGAGAAGTGGTGCCTCGATGCGCACCCGGGACCCGAACCCGGGCCGCCAGCATCGCAGCGCGCGCACTTAACCACCAAGCCACAGGGCCGGCCCAGAAGTGGGCTTTAAAGTATGGTTTGAATCTCAACTTTCATGCTTACTAGCTTTGTCATTGACCTTGGTTAGAGCAGTTAGGCGAGAAAAACAAAGTCATCGAAATCAGAAAGGAAGAAGTAAAACTGTCACTTTTTGCAGATGACATGAGATATACAGAAAACCCTTAAGACGCCACCAAAAAACTGTTAGAACTAATGAATTTAGGAAAGTCAGAGGATACAAAATCCATATGCAAAAGTCTGTTGTGTTCTTATACACTAATAATAAACTATAAGAAAGAAAATTAAAAAACAGTCCCACTTACAATTGCATCAGAAAGAATACCTAGGAATAAATTTAACCGAGCAGGTGGAAGACCTGTACAATGAAAACTATTAGACATTGTTGAAAGAAATTGAAGACAAATAAATGGAAAGATAGTCTGTGCTCATGGATGGGAATAATATTGTGAAAATGTCCATACTACCTGAAGCAATCTACAGATTCAGTGCAATCCCTATCAAAGTTCCAATGGCATTTTTCACAGAGATAGAAAAAATCCTAAAATTGGTATGAAACCACAAGAGACCCTGAATAGCCAAAGCAGTCCCGAGAAAGAAGAACAAAGCTGGGGCATCATGCTCCCTGATTCCAAAATATACTACAAAGCTACAGTAATCGAAACAGCATGGTACTGGCACAAAAACACACACACACATTTTTTTTTCCCCCTGAGGAAGATAAGTCCTGAGCTAACATCCACAACAATGCTCCTCTTTTTGCTGAGGAAGACCGGCTCTGAGCTAACATCTATTGCCAATCCTCCTCCTTTCTCTCCCCAAAGCCCCAGTAGATAGTTGTACGTCATAGCTGCACATCCTTCTAGTTGCTGTATGTGGGACGCGGCCTCGGCGTGGCCAGAGAAGCGGTGCGTCGGTGCTTGAGCCGGATCTGAACCCGCGGCCGCCAGTAGCGGAGCGCCCGCACTTAACCGCTACGCCACAGGGCCAGCCCCCCAGACACCCAGATTAATGGAACAGAATAGAGAGCCAAGAAATAAACCCACGCTTATATGGTCAATTAACTTACGACAAAGGAGCCAAGAACACACAATGGAGAAAGGAAAGTCTCTGCAATAAATGGTGTTGGGAAAACTGGACAGCCACCTGCGAAAGAATGAAATTGGACCATTATCTCATAGTATACACCAAAACTAACTCAAAATGGATTAAAGACTTGAACGTAAGAATTGAAATCATAGGGCCGGCCCCGTGGCTTAGCGGTTAAGTGCGCGCACTCCGCTGCTGGCGGCCTGGGTTTGGATCCCGGGCGCGCACCGACGCACTGCTTCTCCAGCCATGCTGAGGCCACGTCCCTCATACAGCAACTAGAAGGATGTGCAACTATGACATACAACTATCTACTGGGGCTTTGGGAGAAAAAAATAAATAAATAAAAATAAAAAAAAAAAGAATTGAAATCATAGGGGCCAGGCCCGTGGCTTAGTGGTTAAGTGCTCGTGCTCCGCTACTGGCGGCCGGGGTTCGGATCCCGGGCGCGCACCATCACACCACTTGTCGGGCCATGCTGAGGTGGCGTCCCACATACAGCAACTAGAAGGATGTGCAACTATGACATACAACTATCTACTGGGGCTTTGGGGGAAAAAAGAGGGAGGATTGGCATGAATATTAGCTCAGGGCTGATCTTCCTCACACACACAAAAAAAGAATTGAAATCATAAAACTCCTAGAAAAAAACATACATGGTACGCTCCTTGACATCAGTCTTGGCAATTATTTTTTTGGGTTTGACACCAAAAGCAAAGGCAATAAAAGCAAAAATCAACAAGTGGGACTACATCTAACTAAAGAGCTTCTGCACAGCAAAGGAAAACATGAATAAGATGAAAAGGCAACCTACTGAATGGGAGAAAATATTTGCAAATCATATATCTGTTAAGGGGTTAATACCCAAAATATATAAAAATCTTATACAACTCAATAGCAAAACAAACAAAAAACAATCTGATTAAAAAATGGGTAGAGGGTGGCCAGCCCGGTGGTGCAAGCTGTTAAGTGTGCTCGCTCCCCTCCTGGCGGCCTGGGATTCGCTGGTTCGGATCCCGGGCGCGCACCGATGCACCGCTTGTCAGGCCATGCTGTGGCGGCGTCCCATATAAAGTGGAGGAAAATGGGCACGGATGTTAGCCCAGGGCCAGTCTTCCTCAGCAAAAAAAAGAGGAGGATTGGCACATGTTAGCTCAGGGCTGATCTTCCTCACACACACACAAAAAAATAAACAGGCAGAGGATCTAAATAGACATTTTTCCAAAGAAGACATACAGATGGCCAACAGGTACATGAAAAGGTGCTCAACGTCACTAACCATCTGGGAAATGCAAATCAAACCACAATGAGATATCACCTCAGACTTGTTCGAATGGCTGTCATCAAAAAGACAAGATAAGGGCCGGCCCCGTGGCTTAGCGGTTAAGTGCGTGCGCTCTGCTGCTGGCGGCCCAGGTTCGGATCCCGGGTGCGCACCGATGCACAGCTTCTCCAGCCATGCTGAGGCCGCGTCCCACATACAGCAACTAGAAGGATGTGCAGCTATGACATACAACTATCTACTGGGGCTTTAGGGGAAAAAATAAATAAATAAATAATCAAAAAAAAAAAAGACAAGTGTTGGCGAGGATGTGCAGAGAAGGGAACTCTTGTGCAGTATTAGTGGGAATGTAAATTGGTGCAAATGTTATAGAAAACTATGGAGGTTCCTCAAAAAATTAAAAATTGAACTACCA